TGACAAAAGTGTTTGTTTTATGCATACGTGGTTTTTATGGTGACAAAAGGATCAGATATATGTTATCTCCAAGTCATAAACAGGTTGAGAAAACCTATTAGACCTTATGTTCAGCTGTCTCAGCCAGTCAGTGAAACCACTTGTAATTTAGTTTGTAGGCTTAAAAACAACCCTTTCTCAAAATATCTTAGTGCTCTATGTGTGTAATTAAGACACTTAATAATTTTGTTTACTGTCTGATGCTAGCTGCTTTTTAGAAACATTAAATGTAACTGTAATGTGATGTTCTTTCTTCCTGCTTGTTAGGACTGCTGAAAGTCGGGAGCGGGCATATGATCACGGTGCCTATGGACATCACGAGCGTCCTGGTAGCAGTTTTGACCGCCAGCGGCACTATGACACAGACTATTATCGTGATGCAAGAGACAGGACTCTAAGCACAGCTGGGAGCGGGTCCGGCACCTCCAGTGGAAGCGGTACTACAACGTCGTCAGGAGTTGGTGGAACTATCGTTAGTGCTGTTGCTGGCAACACAGGAACAAGCGGATCAGCAGGGGGCACGACAGCAGGAGGTGGAGGATCTACATCCAGTGGGGTCAGCTTCTACCGCTCCCACAGCAGGAGCCCTTGTCGCTTTGAGACACCTGAGCCTCGCTATGAGTCTCGTGCCAGGGAACCTTTTACTTTGGCCAGTGTGGTTCACAGGGACCTTTACCGGGAGGACAGGGGTAGGCGTGGGGAGCGGTCATACCGCCAGAGTCGTAGCCGGTCTCCACACTCAACGCATTCACGGAATCCCTCTCCCCAGAGACTGGCGAGTCAGGCCTCCCGCCCTCCACGCTCACGCAGTGGGTCAGGCTCTCGCAGCCGCTCCTCCAGCTCAGACTCAGTCAGCAGTACCAGCAGCAGTACAAGTGGCAGGTGAGTGGACCTGGTCCGCTGTCGAGCTTTCTACCCTTGTGCATGGCTGTTGTTTACCACTGTGCCTCCCAGTCTTAAACAGGTGTCTAACAGAGGAAAAAAGCATTCTGCACATTCACTGCTGCTTCAGAGGAATGTAAGATGTATTTAACAAAAATGAAACCGTAGCTTGTTTCACTTGATTGGACCAGTTCAGAAGAGTGATCATTTCATCTATGCATCATTTTCTGCTGTTTACCTAAGTTCAGGTCACAGCGGTATCAGAATGGAGGTATTTTTTAACAAGCGTAAAATGGGCTTAATGTATGGTGTATAAGATTCCATTGCTTTTATACACTCACACTGTTGTACAGAATTTTTTAGCTTTATAAATCTGGTATTATTCATCATTTTATTATTTGAATAAAATTTCTGAGATCATTTTAAGTCAGCTTTAGCAGTTTGTCAAGATCATGTTCAAATGAAACACAAGATTTAGCAAAACATACTGTATAAACCTTGTTAAAAAAAAAAAAAAAGTCACTGGTATAAATGTCACTATTCTGCAAAACCCACAATGGAACAACTCCTAGTCCATCTAAGTGTGGCTGAATGAAATGCGTCTGCTTTTCTTCAGTGTGGATTCAAATTGATTTCCATACAGGAAAATGACTTGTTTTCATAAAACTTTCCTGTTATAATCTGTGCATAATGTCTTTTTAAACATAAGGCGATTTTCTCAACCTATATTTATGCCTTTATGGAGTTATGCATCCGTTTCTAAGCGGTACACCGGTTTTGCCAACAAGCCAAGAAAGATGTGTGTGCATTTAATGTCTGTCACTAGTTGGTGAGGACTTCATCAAGAATACTTGTTGTTCAATATCCCAAATTGCAGAAGCTGTGGTTTGTAACATTAACTATTTCAGGATGTCATAACTCCCAGTGCTGTCATTATGTATGCTTTTAAGCTCATACAGTATGTATTTTAATTTTTTTTATCCAAGGATGATAAATATTTAATGGAATAGAGTTCTAATACTTTCTGGGGGTTTCATGCAAGACTCGCAGCACTGTGATGGTTGACCAGGACAACCTCTTATTTGTGGTGGTAATAAAAAAAAATAGTGCTATAAAATAACCAGCATACCCAACAGTATTGCAGAGCTTCATTAAATACTGCAATGACAGGCTTACTTTTTCTGTTTTTAACATTTGAACATAACCTCCATGAACCACCCTGCAGGTGACATAAATTGGATACAAGTATCTGCATGTTGGGAAAAATAATTGTAAGACACGGTATGACAGGGAAGATTACTGTATGTTCACCTGCTCATTGATCTTAAAATCTTGAGAATTTAAAGCAATCCATGTGGGCAAGGCTGCCATCTTAAAGGATGTCATCACTTATCCCATTATATGGGTTTTCAGCAGCACTATCATTTCAAATTCAGTAACGTAACACAAGTTGTAGATGTGTTCAGCTTTTGAAATGGCGTTAAATGTGCAAATTTCTGCTTTGCCAATGATCTTTAGTGAATTTTTCAAATTTGTATTCATGAGCTTGTTGGCAGAGTAGTTTTTTTTGTTTTGTTTTTTACGAACGCTGGAAAATGGATGGACACTTTTGGGGTTGCTAAGACTTGATTTGAATCGATTTATTACCGCTGTTCATACTCTGCATTCTCCTTGCAAATTTAGGCTCATCTCCAATACGCTATGCTTATTTCACCTATTTTGCCTTCATGAGGGTTGTGTCTGAGGTTGTTTCCCATTTCGCAGTTCAGTGATTAGTATTGACTTGTAGATCATCACAGATACTAACTTTACAAAACAACATTGCAAACAATTTTTGAAAATATAACAACTTTAGGGTTTGCTTGATTCCAAATGTGATAAGTATTTTTATAATAGGCGGACATACTTAGTTATAGGCAGCTGGTAAGATCTCACACACTCTAACCCTTGATACAATCACTTGCATAAAACAGTCATAAGTGTTGCCATAATTGAACTGGATATGATTAATTGAGAGGTTGTCCTGGCCTGCTGTGAGAGTGTGTGTTTACCGTGGTGTTGCAACCAAATGTCCATAATTATAAACAATGTTTGTCTCGACTCTGTTTTTGATTTGACATGCTAATTGGGCTGGTTTTGTTTACTTCTGGGTGCTGCTACAGTTGTTGCAATGACATTTGCCTCCAAGTTCTTGTAAATGTATTCCTTTTTATTAGTTGATTTGGGTTGTGTTGTTATTGAGTAGTAATTATGCAAGAAATGCCTGAATAATACAAGGTTATGATAATCAATTGCAAGTGAGGTCTGCAGTTTAAAAAAAAACATATCCATGGGTTATGTGTATATATAAATTCACCTCACCCCTGTCCAGTTCTTTATTTTTATTTAGCTGCATCACCTTTGGACTAGTCCGTCACTCTGATCGACATGTAGCGACACATGTGGTTTCTCAAGGTATTGCTATGAGGGGAAATTTCAGGAGACGGTATATTTTTCTCACTGTCTACCTCTGTGTATAAGTAATGCCCCCCTCCCCCCCGTGAGATCCAGTTGAAACTGGAAATTTCTGGCCAGTGCTGGCTGCCTGCCCACTCCCACAGGCCAGGCTCCGTCAGCAGCACTTCCGGGAGTGTCTGAGCACAGGAGAAAGTGAGAAGGAAACAAACAGCAGAGGGCCTAGAAAGCTGAGACAGGCATGGAAATGGTTTGAGGGGAAAAAAAAAGCGGTGCAGGAGGCAGCCATGGACTCAACACTGACAAATCCATATGTTTATATTAATGGCCAGATACAAAGTATAAATATGAAGTCAGAAAGGGGAGTTTTTTCTGAGACAGCAGTTTTTAAACAGCAGAAAGACACATTCATGCAAATACATCACTTTATATATTAAATCTGATGTGTGCATAATATTTTTTTCAATACAACAACAGAACTGAGTCAGTATTTACAAAAAAAATCCTGCTTTAACTGCAGTTCTTGGTTGTGCATTGAAATATACAGACAGCGGACAAAGGAAAAATGAATAAATGAGTGCTCTCTTCCAGTATGACAATATCTATTTATTATCTTACTTAGGTAAAAGAAAATTAACAACTTTGTTCTTTGCCTACTCATGTAATACTAAAGGGAAAATGGTGTTAAACAGAGATAAAACTACAAGGCTTACAGTAATAATGGTTCATGTTTGTCTTTTTTGCTACAGTGATTCTAGCAGTAGTTCAAGTGACGATTCCCCGGCACGTTCGGTGCAGTCTGCTGCTGTTCCTGCACCCTCAGCACACCCTTTATCCTCCCTTGACAAGGATGAACCACGTAAAAGCTTTGGCATCAAGGTGCAAAATCTTCCTGTGCGCTCTACAGGTTAGTTATGAGATTCTCCTGCAGCATTTGGGCATAAAGAGCATTTTTAAATTCTGAAATAGAAGCAAATTATATTTCTATTTATCCTGCAAATATTGATACATTTTATTAAAGTCATTACCAAAAGTTTTTTTAGCAACATGTCATCTTTTTTTAGTAAACATACTTAATAAAATATTTGATCTGTTTACTACAGATACAAGCCTGAAGGATGGTTTGTTCCATGAATTTAAGAAACATGGCAAGGTCACATCTGTACAAATTCACGGCGCTTCAGAGGAGCGCTATGGGCTTGTATTTTTCCGCCAGCAAGAGGACCAAGAGAAAGCGCTTGGTTCATCGAAAGGAAAGCTGTTTTTTGGCATGCAAATTGATGTCACAGCCTGGAATGGGCCTGGTAAATTTTGTTCCAGGACTGTACTGCACAAAAAACATGATTATTGTAAAAATCCACAAGGTTACAAGGTTAACTTATTTTTCAGAAACAGAAAGTGAGAACGAGTTTCGCCCCTTGGATGAGAGGATAGATGAATTTCATCCAAAGGCCACACGGACATTATTCATTGGAAACCTGGAGAAGACTACAACTTACCATGATCTGCTCAACATTTTTCAACGCTTTGGAGAAATAGTGGTACGTTTGTGTTGTGAAATGGATCATACACATGCAGTGGCTACCATGCTGCACAGGTTGAGATAACCAATACTTACTGACAGCATATTTATGTTTTCATTATCCCAAAAGGATATTGATATTAAGAAGGTGAATGGAGCCCCACAGTATGCCTTTCTACAATACTGTGACATTGCCAGTGTCTGCAAGGCCATAAAGAAGATGGATGGCGAGTACCTTGGTAACAATAGACTAAAGGTGAAAATTATCATGTTAATTTTTGACTCGTCTTTATACTACCACCAATGATTTTTGGATACTCTTGATTTTTTTTGTGTAATTTGTGTAAACTTTTGAATTCATGAAGTTGTTTTGATGTCAGATCAAATAATTGCAGTCTGACATTTTATAATTCCTCTTTCAGCTGGGCTTTGGAAAGAGTATGCCTACAACTTGTGTTTGGTTGGATGGATTAGCGTCAAATACAACCGAGCAATTTCTTACTCGTCATTTCTGCCGCTATGGGCATGTTGTCAAGGTAAGTGTTTATTTTCCCCTCATGTTTGCCCATTATTTACCTTCTGGGACCATAGGACTATTTTCCTCTGTTTTCAACAGGTTGTATTTGACAGAATGAAAGGAATGGCCCTCATCTTGTATAATAACATTGAATATGCACAAGCAGCTGTCAAAGACACAAAGGGGTGGAAGATAGGGGGCAGTAAAATCAAGGCAAGTAAAATATAGCTTTGCTCTAAAATAGGGTTGCAATGGTATACAGATTTCACGGTATACCGTGGTATGAAAATTGACGGTTAGCATACCATGCACATTTGTTTATTACTGGTATTGAAGAAAAAACAATGCCTGCGCACCTTTCTTCAGCCACTGCCTGCCAGACTCCACAACAGGTGCCGCATGTGTGCATGCGGCACCTGTTGAAACCGTGATATTTTCTGGAACAGTTATCATGTAAAAAATCTCATACCGTTGCAACCTTACTCTAAAGTGATACTCTGTAATATTATGTGTTCTCCATTTCTGACAGGCTGTAAAAAAAAATTGCAATATGCCTTTCTTTCTTTTTAGGTGGACTTTGCCAATCAAGAAAGTCAGATGGCTTTCTATCGTTCAATGCAGGCATCTGGCCAGGATATTCGAGACTTTTATGACATTCTCTCTGAAAGAAGGTTTGTTATTTTTGCCTCAATATTGTATAATTTTAAAGAGAAAGTTATTGATTTCAGAGTATGATTAAATTATAATCTATTTCTTGGTAGGGATGATCGACGAACTCAATATGACTTTCAAGCAGAAAGACAATACTATGAAAATGTACGAACACCAGGAGCATATACTGAAGATCCGCGTCGTAAATACTCTGCTAGAAGTCGGGAGTTTTACACTGAATGGGACCCATATCAGGGGGATTACTATGATCCACAGTACTTTGAAGATCCCCGAGAATATCGGGAATACAGAGCTGACCCTTATGAGCAGGACATTCGCAAATACAGTTATTTGCAGCGGGAACGTGAACGAGAGAGGGAACGCTTTGAAACAGATCGTGGACGTGATTATGGGAGAAGGACCATCGAGCGTAGCCAAAGCCCATCTCACATTGCCACTCGCTGTCCTGCTAGTCCCACTGCATCTCCTTCACTCTCCGAGAGAATACCAAGTGAATCGGACCGCCGTATTTGTTGTCGATCTTCTGACAGAAGTGGTAGCTGCAGTTCAGTCTCTCCCCCAAGATTTGAAAAACTTGAAAAGGCACGCTCTGAAAGGTATAATAAAACTGACAAACTTGAAAAGGATCGAGTTTTTGAAGTTGAAAGAGGAAGTTTGATTGAAAAGGAGAAGCGGGCTGGACGTAAAGATAGAGGGGATAAAGACAAAAGTGAAAAACAGAGGCTTAAGAAGCTCAAAGTTGCATCGCCTATTGTCCAAGCATGTGAAACAGAACCGGAGCTTGAGCGAGATGTTAGTCCTGAGTTTGTGCTTCGAGGTAAAAACTGTAAAATTCCAAAGGAAACCTTAAGCAAAGGAAGGTTAGACCTACCTCCTTGTGTTGTGCAGTTAACACGTGTTAAAGAAAAAGAAGGAAAATTGATTGGACGTGCTGTCCAAGAAAAACAAATACAGAAGAGTGGGAATGACAGTCCTAGATTGGCATCGCCTTCAGCTGACCAGAGGAGTCCTCCATTCCGCTCAGAACCATCAAAAGGTGATATTTCTAAGCATGGAAAGGTGCCCAGAGATAAAAATATGCACAGTTTAGTGGAGGTTATTGACAAGGATGCTAAAATCAAATCCAAAAAACATGCAAAATCTGAAATGGGATTTGACAGCAGTATTTCTGTGGATATTGACCGTTTAGCCGCAAGGAAAAGGCGTTTTGAGGACTCTGGGAAAACTGATCGACAAAAGAGAACTAGTGAGGATGACCTTGGTAGACCTGGACTTCATAAACTGTGGAACAATGCTAAGGACACTGATTTGGATAAGAACCCTTTGATAAAAGGGATGCATAAAAAGGAGCACCACAAGGATAGATGTGTCCGAGTGGTCTCAGTTAACAGTCCTAAAGATGGACGAGACTGTGAAAGGACCTCTGTAGACCTTTCTCTGGAGCGGCAGTCACGGCAAGGTGAACTGCTGGAAGATTCTACAGATCAGTTAGACGCTGACTACCTTAAAATGGATTTAGAGGCATCAAAAAGCGAAAATGGCTCTAGTCTCACAAAGATGTCAGATGATGGCAGTATTGATTTGGATGAACAACAGAAACAAGTTTTGTCTGAAAATGAACAAGGTAGAGGGAAATGCAGAGACTCGGATGATGGAGATGAACACTTTGTGCACACTGGCCAGACTAAAATTTGCACAAAAGAAATTGAACAGAGTCGATGGCTTCGACCAGTGCTTGGTGATTCGGATCAGTTAGTCAAGTTTGAAAATCCATCAAGTAATGAGACACGTGATTTTGAAAAGGATTATATCATGCATGGTGTTGGAAAACCAGTTGAGGATATAGTCAATGATGACTTCTCTTCCTGTAAAAGAAAGAAACTTGAGAATTTTGACTTTGAAATAGTCACTGCAAAAAGAGAGCACAATTTTGCAAGTTCTCAAAAGTTGAGTGAGGACATTTATCAAAGCATAACATCCTCATTAGGAAGTGGTCACTTTTCTGCAAATGAGGATGATGACACTGCACAAACTGTAGTGTCAGATATAAACAAACAAAGAAAATCCTCTCCATCAGCAGATGATACATTTTCACACACAGAGTCACTGAAAAACTCTTTGGGCTTGACAGCCAGACATTTTCAGTCTTCTGATACTGAGCTCCCAAAGCTTAAGACACCCTTGCTTGGATGTGATGAGGAGTTAATGCAACGTTGGGAAAGAAGAATTAAGTCTGACTCACTTAGAATGGAAATGACATTCCCAAGTGACATTGCAAAACGTGAAAGCATTCGTAGACGACTTGGCCAGGATTTGGAACCTGGGGAAGTGCAGTCAGATTCAGAAGACGATGATGATGATGATGATGATGATGATGATGCAGAAAACAAACACATGTCTCCCAAGTCCAATAGTTCTTTGTCTTATATTCTCAGGGAACGAGATGAGAGGATAATAGATCTGAAACAGTCAGGCTCCTTGGAAAAGAATAAGTTTTATTCTTTTGCATTAGATAAAACTATAACTCCTGATACAAAAGCACTCCTGGAAAGAGCCAAGACGCTGTATTCTTCAAGGGAAGATAATTGGTCTTTCCTTCCCTCGCGTTTTCCAGCCTCCCCCAGCTGTTCAGATAAGGACAAGGTAGAGCTAGCACCTCGACCTATTCCTTCTTGGTATATGAAAAAGAAGAAGATTCGTACTGACTCGGATGAAAAGCTGCACGATAAAAAGGAGGAACTTAAACCACAGGACCAAGAGCGTCAGGAACTGTTTGCCTCTCGCTTCCTGCACAGCTCAATCTTTGAACAGGATTCCCGACGTTTGCAACGACTTGAACGTAAAGACCAAGATTTAGAAACTGGAGTTGGTAGGCCTTTTGGAAAACCAGGTGCAACTGAGGCAGAGCCTGAATCTGGAGCAGGTGACATCCCACAAGAGCCCATAGTACTTTTCCATAGCCGGTTTCTGGAGCTTCAACAACAAAAGGACAAGGACCATCCCTCACCTGATACTGAGAATGATTCGATAGTGGCTGAGATTAAAAGAGATGAAGTGCAGAATTGTGAAAATGTGCCAACTGATAAGGTTTCTGAGCCATTACTTAAGGTTGATAGCAAATCAGCCAGCCCCCCATTAACCTTGTCTGTTTCACCATGTGGTCCTTCCTCCAAAGAAATGTCACCAGAAAAGAGAGAAGTTTTAACTCCATCCCCGGATCAACCTGTTTTATTTGTCAAAGAAGAAAAAGTGGAGCTGGTTCTTGACATGTCCCCTTGTCATTCTCTTCTTATGGAAGATTTGAAACCAGTTGTTCCGAAGCTAACCATAACTCCACCATTTGCCCTTTCAGAACCAGAAAATGAAATGGAAACAAAAGGAGAGTTAAGTGAACCCAAAGTGAAAACTGGTGATAGTTTGTCAGTGGAACAGAACCCTCTTGTGGAAGATAAACCCCCTACTCCTGGTGGTTCTCTAAGTGGGTTTGAGACTGTAGAATTAGCTTATTCAGACTATCCAAAGATTGAAGAAAAATCTGAAATTATTAAGATGGAACCTAAAATAGAAAATCCAGAAACTAAGCACTTTGATGAATCTCTCAAAACTGAGACAGATAGAGAAGCATGTATGCCAGAACTAGAGGGTGAAATAAAACCACTACCAAATCGCAGACAGCCTAAGAGTAAAAGGGCAAAACCACTGTCAGTTTTGCGTTCCTCCCAAAGTGCTGCCACAGAGAAACCTGCAACACGAAAGAGTGAACGGATTGACAGAGAGAAGCTCAAAAGGGCCTCATCTCCTCGAGCAGAAGCACCAAAGGCGTCACTTGAGTCTAAAACCACATCCAAGTCACCAAGTCATGCATCAGATTCTGAACAAAACCTCGAATCAAGTTTGATCCATGGGAGGACACGTCGCAGGAATGTAAGGTCAGTCTATGCCACACTGCATGAAGATGACCAAGTTGGCAAAGAGGTAGAGTCATCACGCTCCATGCGCAAACGTGGTGCTGATAAAGAACCAATACAACAAGATGTTCAGATCCCAGCTACCAATACTAGACGAGGACGCCCACCAAAGAGAGGCGTCAAACGAGGTGACGATGTATCACCAGTAAAAGGGGAACAGCAGAAAATGATGGAAGAAGACACCGAGGTCAGAGAGACCTCAAATACTGCAGAGACTGTGAAAGCCCCTGAGGGGTGGCGTTCACCACGCACTCAAAAAGTGCAGCAAACACACCTAACTTTATCTTCTCCAGTTAACAAGAAAGGAAATAGAACAGACAAACAGTCTGGGAGCACTACGATACTAGCTGAACAAGCTGATCTGGCAAGTCAAGATGAGTCAGAGCTTAAGCCTAAAGCAGATTCAGAAGTTTTTGGGAAGTTAGAAACTGTGGAAAACACAAGCTCACCAGTGCACAGAAATGAAAAAGATTTAAAAGATTCTGGTGGAAAAAAATCTGTTGATGGGGAAAAGATAGAAAGCAGCTCCACTGAGAGGACACAGCAGCCTGAAAAAAGTGTTAAAATGAAAACACCAAGGTTGAAAAGAAATACCAAGCAGAATACTGAGGATAAATCACACAGCTTAAAAAATCTTGAGATCCGTGTAAGCATTGATGATGTAAAAAGTTTACTTCGTTCAGAGGATGATGAACCTGAGTCGTTTGAAGCTCCTACTGTTGCCAAAACCAAGATGTTAGTGCAAGAGAATGAGGAAACTAAGGTAATAAGCTTTCCAAAAGAATCAAAAGAGCTTGGTGTACAGGAAAAGGAAGACACTCTATCAGAATCTGAACTTCCTGATGATCCAGCTGCTGCTCTCTTAGCACGGCAGATGGAATTAGAGCAGGCAGTAGAAAATATTGCCAAACTTACAGTTGAACAACCTTCCCGGCCATATAAGGAGCCACCTTCAGTACAACCTACTATAATGCCTCCTGTCATAGTGGAGCCAGAAGGTGAGGTTGAGGAGGAAAAGCGAGCTAATCCTGCAAGTGAAACGGAACTTGCAGCTGCTATTGATTCAATTACATCTGAAGAAACATGTGCAGATGCAGATGGGTTCACAGCTCCCCCTACTTACACCGCTCTTATTCCTACCCCTGATTCCCTGATATCATCATCCTCCAGTGAGATTATGGAACCTGAAACGCACATGGTGATCAACAATATTCTTGCAGCGGACTCAGATAATGGGCCTCTAACACCCAGCCAAAAGAGGCCAATAGCAGAGTCTAAGGCAGCTGAAGATCCCCCTCTACTTGAAATGCCCAAGAAAACAGGCAAAATTAGAGCAAAACCCCCAAAGAAGTCAAGAAGTCGTAAAGGTGTAGCTAACAAGAAAGGGGATACCACTCAAGATGTTTCACAACCGGAACCCTCCCCAGTCAAGTTGCCGGAGTCAATCCCAGAAGATCCAGAAACACTTAATTTAAAAACAGTAACTGTTACTTCTGGGGCAACTGCAACTGCCTCTGTTGTCACTGCTGTTGCAACTTGTAGGCGTGACATTACAAGTGCTATAACTGTAGACACGCCCAAAGAGGCGGAACAGCCTGAGGTTGAGCAGCCTGTACCCAAAGAATCTGCTTTTCATTCAGGCACAAGCAACATCTCCAGCTGTAAAAAGCATCCCCAGGCAGTAGAGCCATCTACCTCTATTATTGCTTCTGCCCCTGCTCGCCTACAACCTGTATCCCAGATTAGTGTACCGCTACCACGGCCTGCCAAAATACCACTTTCACCAGACTGGCCTCCGAGATCAGAAGAAAGTAGAATCTATGTCGCTCCTCCTTGTCACGTCACAGTGGTAACTCCTTCTGTACAGGCATCAACTACACTTGGAACCCCTTCAACAAATCCCACAATGCCACCTGACACAAAGGCCTCTGATATCGATCCGAGTTCTAGTACCTTAAGAAAAATCCTAATGGAACCTAAATATGTGTCTGCATCAAACAGCAATTCTATACCTACCACTATGGTGACATCTGCACTGTCAGATCCTTCACGCATGTCAGAGAATGAAAATCCCTGTCATACACTGGGTTCAAGACAGTTGCATCCTGAAGAGAGACCACCTTTACCCTCCCAGCCCATACACCACAAACCATCTCCACTGACAGAGTCCCAACAGAACTGTGGAGAGAAGACCCACCAGACAGTTATTTCTCCTGCTACCTCAGTAATAAGTCGATGTCCAATGCCTTATGATACAGAGGAAACACCGCGAATTTCCCTAAGCAACAGAAGTATCAGCCTGTCTGTTCCCAAGCAAAAATATAGATCAAATTCCAATGAGAATAATCGCTACCATGGCACGGATATAGTAGAAGATGGGTCTCGAGGGCACTCAGTTGTTGAGTCCACTACCTACAGTACAGGCTCAAGTCCTGGCCTAAGAGTCAATACATCAGAGGGCGTTGTTGTTCTGAGTTATTCTGGTCAGAAAACCGAAGGACCACACAGGATGAGAGCCAAAATTAGTCAGATTCCTCAAGCTAGTGCTGGTGATATAGAGTTTCAGCAGTCTGTGTCCAAATCTCAGATAAAGCAAGACCCACTCATTGCATCATCTCAGTCACCTGCCCCAAAAGTAGCCCCTACTCCTTCATCTTATGGGCACACAGGGGTCCTCTTAACCAGTCAGTCCTATAATGCTCAACCTGTCATTTCCAGTACCAAGCAGGACAGTCTTGGGTGTGACAAATCTGAAGCTTCATATCGCCCAGCAGTAAAGATGTTCCAACAGCCAGTTAGTTCTCCTCAAGTTCTGATGTACAACCAAGCTGTGATACAGCAGCAGCATGGCAAGAGAGGACTGGGGACAGAACCGCTACCAAAAAAAATAGACATTGGCAAAGCTGTCCAGCAGTCTAACCTCAGCCCAGTCTTGAGTCCACACCACCCATCGCTCTGTGGAACCCGCATGAGCCCTAGCCCTGGCATCTCAACTGATCGGCCAGGTCTGCACCTCAAACAAGAACCTCAATCTCCACGTACAGCTGTTCATTCTCCTTCACCCTTTGTCAAAGCCTGTCCTCCAAGCAGTTCACCTATTGCAACTTCTGTTGTTCTGGGTCATGGAATGCCATCAATGTCTACATATCATTCAAGTATGCATCATCCACACTCAGAACAGTCCTCTGTCATAATTCAACCTCACAGTGTTACCCAGCCCGTGGCTCAGGAGACCAGAATAAACAGCCCACCAATGTCTGGGATTAACTATGGAAGGCGAGGTGACTCCTTGTCTTCTCCCCACCCAGGGCCTCCACAGCGCTCAAATACACCACAGCCTAATGTCATTCGAGATATGGTACTGCAATCTCATTCAAGTCCCCAGGGGTCAGGTTCAAGTGCTGGAGGCAGCAGTGTAAGTGAAGAAGATCCCAGACAGTTTAACCAAGCCCTTAGTAGACCATCAGTGCCCCAGCTCCAATCAGATGTAATGATGATTCACAGTGATCACAGAGGGCTCCACCCAAGCATACGCTTGGACCAGTACAGAGACATGCATCAGCGCATCCTTGTGCACAAGCAGTTGGGAGAGCAGGCCACTTTAGAAGCAAGACAGTCACGCACCTTAGAAACTGGAACGTCTTCATGTAACATCTCTGGGCCTTCCAAGAGTCCTATAGTGGGGAAGGGCATTGAACTTTCCACGAAAGAATCTCTCAAGCCACTAGAAGGAAAACTAATACATCCACCCTCCAATGAAAGTAGAATCAGAGGTGTCCATGCATCTAGTCCTGTCATGGTGTCTCCTCACCCTCATGGGGTTCAGCTTATTCATTCAGGAGGTGCAGCCTCCTTTCCAGTATATCGGGAGATGCGGGGCTTCCCATCCCAGTTTCCAGGGCATTCTTCATCAGGACACAGCCTGGCTAACCAAGGCATTACTTCTTCACAGGTGACTTGCTATGCTTTTATTATCTGCATCTTTGTGCAAACACTTTAGCATTTTTATTATATATTTTCAATTTATTGATCATATTCATAACATATACAAAATACACATACATAGTTCTGTTTGTTTTTTAAATCAGGTCCCTCCGGAACCTGAGCTGAGCCACAGGGGTAAAATGTCTCAGTCACATGGGGGAGGAAGTGATTCCAAGCCGGAGAGTTCCCATCTTCGTCATGCTACCTCTACTGACCTCTCACACATTTCCAGAATATCAGGGGATACAGTGTCACCATCATACCAATCTCCCATGACGTCCCCCATGAGTCTTACTCACAAGCCAGATCTTTCACTACAGAAAGGCCCTCCAGCCTTCCTGTCAACACCTCCACCAGCAGTACCCTCATCAAGTTCACTGCAGCCACGGCCTGATGCTAAGTTGGAACATTCAGGGCATCGTTCCATTGACATGGTGCAGCTTTTGACGGTAGGAAGACCAGCAATGTTATCATACATAATACATTTTCAAGACCATTCCAAAGAGGGAACTATGTTTACAAAACAGTTTTTCTGTGTGCAGAAATATCCCATTGTATGGCAAGGCCTCTTGGCACTGAAGAACGACCAGGCTGCTGTTCAGTTACACTTTGTTTCTGGCAACACTATGCTGGCCCAGCGCTCCTTACCACCACCAGAGGGAGGTCCTCTTCTGCGTATTGTCCAGAGGATGAGGCTTGAGGCTTCCCAGCTGGACAGTGTGGCGCGTAGAATGACTGTGAGTATTTTGGGTTTCATTTGAACAGCAGCTTCTAAAATTTTAGTAAGAATATTTAATGACACTAGTCAATGTAAAGATTTGATTGCAAATGTAAGGATTTTATGCAGTAACCTAATAGATAATCTACAAAATGATTCATGTGTCTATGTTCTAGTGATGTTTTATGTTTACTTAAAAATGTATCATTCATGGCAGGTGGAGAATGAATACTGTTTGCTACTGGCTCTACCCTGTGGTCGAGACCAAGAAGATGTCCTTGGTCAAACCCAAGCCTTGAAAAGTGGCTTCATCACCTACCTGCAAGCCAAACAGGCAGCTGGCATCATCAATGTGCCCAACCCTGGATCTAATCAGGTCTGTGGTCATTTTAGTTTCACCTGTGTTGCACATTAAAATACTGTAACATAAAGCTGTTGTTCCCTGTCTCATTCTAATATTTTCATTTTGGATTCACAGCCAGCTTATGTGGTGCAGATTTTCCCACCGTGTGATTTCTCAGAGAGCCACCTCTCGCGCTTGGCTCCCGACCTTCTCAACAGCATCTCCAGCATTTCCCCTCACCTCATGATTGTCATTGCCTCTGTTTAATTACCTCCATTTTTTCTGAACAAAGCCAACACCAGCCCTTCTAGACTCATCCAGTTTTGTAAACTGGTATTGCCTCATATTTTTATGATTTTGACTTTTTAAAAAAATCTAATTTACCATGCACTCGCCTTTTCTCCTTCACTTCACCGAGTCCTTAAGTCACCCACTGACGTTGAATTCCAAAAACAATACCTTTATGGAGAAGATACGACATGCTGAATGGGGATTTTTGATGATCGTTTCTGATTACTCATTTCATTTTTGCCATTTTTGGAAGTGTTGTTCATAGCCTTTTTTAATTCATAGCAGTCATAGAGCTATGGATTGAAAACTTCCTATGGGATATTTTTTACCTTCAAAAAAAAAATTTTTTTTTTTTTTTTTTTAAAGAAAAACAATGTGAAGTCATTGCACTATGTTAACGAAAAATTGTAAATTCTGTACAGATTTGAGTATAGTATGATACATGTTATGGAATTACTCTCGTGATCAGCCATGCTTGTGGAAGATAAAAGAAAAATCATTGCCTGGAAAATTATCAAGAATCATTTCATCCTGATCAATCATACTGTTTTTGCTCCTTCACCATCAGTCAAATTCTACTTTCTGGACTCAACTCACACACCCCTGAAGCGTTCCCTGCCCCAGGAACTCTTGAAGGGACCTTTAGAGTTGTATAGTTTACACGCAATGCCTCAACAGGGGACAATATAAAGAATATTTAATTTGTTTATTATTATTTTGCATCTTCTTTAAGCCTAAGGGTATTGTGGACATTTGTGAAACTGTAAATATAAATATTTAAAGACTGAAGCAATGGAGAGACCAAGTTAATTATTTTACAAGATAGATCATCAAATGTCTGTGGTTTTTTTCTTTCATTTTGTTCTTTCTTTCTCACTCTCTCTGGAGGGGAGTGGTGGAAAAGTTCTGTACAGGATCAAGGAGTGATAGTGACAAAAAAAGAGGTTTAATTGATTCTGTGCCAAAACAACTTTTGCAAATGCTCAACATACACAATGTATCTAAAACTAAATTTGATCAGAACCTATTTTCATATGAGACTTTGTATTTTGCCAGTCAACAGCCAGACTTGATTTTTTTTTTTTTTTTTTTTGGTAATGTTCATCAACCAAACTCTGTTACAACAGTGCTTTTACATTTTGACATTGTATTCTCATTTTAAAAGAACCATTGTATTGTAGGGGTTGCATTTCTGTTTGTTTTCCTTCTCCCTAATGTGGTCCTCTACTGCCCCCTACTGTCTGAAAATCATTCTCCAATATATTAATCCTGAGCTTTTTTAAGCCATAACTTCAGGATGGATGTGTTATAGCATGCATTATTTTCAAATCTTAGAGGGTAAAGTAAAATCATAAAGGAAAAGAATGTGACTTGAACTTGACATCATACCGCTAATGGATGTGTTGATCATCTGTCTCTAGCCCTTCCCTTAACTGTCTCCTTGAGCCAAGCTGTAAATACTAACGTCCTTAATCTGTGCTTGTGTATTTTATTTTCTCCTTTACAGTTGTCTTTCTTCAGGGTCCTTATTTTTGTTTTGTGCAACAAAACAAAGCAGTCTGGAAGAGACAGGAGATGGGATGTGTGAAACCGATGCTGAAAGTAAAACCATGCTTGTCAGTTCTGTGGTGTAAATATTTCTGTGACTGCAAGCTGAATACTCTCATGGTTATGTTGAAGGCACTTATAATTTTTGATAAACAAAGAAAAAGACAAAACAAAAAAACTTAAACAGTGATTAATATGAAAACTGTCTTTTGATCAATCTTCATTTTGAGTGTATTTTGCTGTTCCTCCATGAGGACATTTTAACATGTAAAATAAATTGTTGTTTAACTTCTGAAGATCATTAAATGGTCAGTCACTCTGGTTTTGTGTTTGTTTTTTATCTGAAGTTATTTTGATGCAAACCGGTTACAAAAATGTAACCGGTTTGCACTTTGTGAGCTCCATCAGTTTAAATAATATTTTTACCTGATCTCATTGTTTAGACTGCTGACCAGTCCAGGGTGTATCTCGCCTCTTGCCCCAACATCAGCTGGGATCATCTCCAGGATAAGCACTACAGATAATGGCTGGATGGGTCGTTGCTCATCGCAGTCCTTGGTGCAGTGCGTTTAGCAGTCAGCAGATGTCAGTGTCTGACCAAACTACACCAATGCATTTGTGAGTGAGTCATGCTACACTACCAGAGAAGTCACTAGTAATATCAATTCACCGCAAAAATGATCTGGCATATGAAATGTTGGCCCTGACTTTGTCTTGACATGACTATGTATTCCCTGGAGTCACAGTTACTTGTCTCCACACATCTTCGAATTTGAATGTGTCACAGGAAAGTGTGCACCCTAGGAAGAACAGAGCCTTTTCTTAGGCCTTTTAAAAATACCTCTAAGTAACTAAGACCTTTGTCTTAGATTGACTTTTGTACTTTGTTTACAATCAGGAAGGCCTAGATTTATTGTTGCTGGGGCACTAGATCACTACTATGAATTGTTTGGAGAATAATGGCCATCCTTCTATTCATATTTTTTAAGCACTTATACAACATAAGCATACCAGGTCTGCAGACAAGAAGCACATCAGGATTATCTGAGCACGCTGCACCATTGTGTCAAACATGAAATGGCAAAACAAAAATGTCAGTGGCGAATTATAAAACTATTTTCGTGGCTCAGTTTTTAGAGCAGTACCAAAATGGCTATGGAGTGAGACAAATGAGCACTATGGCTGTCAAAGCTGCAGTTATAGACTCATCCCTGAGGCAAACATCTCCTTGGTTTCAGGAATTTTAAGACTGTGGTTTGAACACTACCTTTTCCGGCTGCCTCTGTCAAATTCAAGAATACACTAGCTTCCCCTGAGGGAGGCCTATGGGGATTTAGTGGTGGCTGGGATTCGTTTTGGGAAAGTTTGGTGGTCGCAGCTGCAGCATCTTTTATTATTTTCTTGTAAAAACTCTTTAGAGTGCAATTAATTCCAATCAAACACAGAAGGTCCATGAAGAGCCACCAATTTACTTTATGACTTGGTTTATAGTAAATGTCATAGTCATAAAGTTATGATGTAATTTATGTAACAAGCTGCTTGTAATGCATTTTGGACTGTCATTGCTCATTTTCATTCTACGATTCTGATTGAGTAGATCAAGGCTTCCTGTAAAAATAAGAGACACTTACAGTAGGAGCATCAGGTGCAGCAGGATAAGCTAGTGATTGGGTGCCCAGAGGAGGATAAAGAGGGTCATACTGTGCTTGAGAGTGAGGTGAGGTTCAAATGAATTATTGTGCCCTGACAGGGCAAGACTTGGAATGCCCTTTTTACACTGGGACACGGCAGTGACAAGGCAAGACAAAGAAGACACAAGGAGATATTCAACACATTACACCTCCTGTTGTTCCCCCCTCATTGTTGAGATTCATATTACTTCTAAGATTACAGTTTCTCCTTTGAGCGATGAAGCAAAGTCAGGGAGGAGCTGTGTGCCCATGTCCTTACACTAGACCTCATTCATATTTTTGAGCTGTTTTTTTCTTGAATTCTTTGCCACAAGATGACATTTTGAAAGCCCGTTTTTAGCTAGAAAGCGGAAAGAATGTTGAAAATTTAGTGGTTGGGTTTTCAGACACTGTTAAGTGCTTGTTTTCTTGTTTTTGTCCTTTTGGCATGTAGCTCTTTACATTCCATACTTGTGTTTAGAGAGTCTGTCTTTACATGGGAGCAAAAAATAAATCAACTAAAAGTGAAGCTCTTTTAAAATAAATCTTAATATCTACTTTGATTACTTTGCTGCAAATTTTACAGAGTTTCAGTGATGTTGTCCATAAATTTTAACATGCTCAACTCATTATCATTGACTCTAATCAACAGTCACGGTTGAGAGAGCACAAAGAGCAACGGGATTAGAGGCTCCATTACTGCTTGATGAACTTAAATGCAAGATGACTCAATGATGTGATGATAAGAGCTCAGGGAAAATCCATTTTGACAAGGACACATGCATGCTTTTAAGCATTTAACCATTATAGCTATCAAACTGTCAGTCAGGAAACGTCAAGAAAAAACTGTTGCGACTAATGGGAAGGTAGCTCAAAGGGTTTTAAAGTGAACTTCTGCTCAACAGATGGTTGCCAGGCTGCTTTTGATGCCAGAAACCTATGAAGGCCTAAACTCTTGGAGACATCACCTTTTAGACACTCTTGAGGTATTTTGTGGTCTACTGAGTTTAGAGCCTGCAGCTTGATTTTTGATCATAGACGAAGATTTCGTCTAATTTGTGTGTGGGAGAATTTTGATCCAGCAGTGTTGTGATTTGATCCAAGTCACAAGACAGTTGGAAGTTTTTGTATCTGTGTGGATCCTTCTATGGACAGATTCCCTCATGTAATGCTAATGTAGGCTTTGGGTTGTAAATTGCAGTTGTTACCTTGTGGGAATGTCAATTCAGCTGTAGTGGACTTTAGTGTTTTCTGTGAATTCTTGTCTCAAGGGGAAAAAACTCCTTAAAATAGGTTTTCTGATGTCACCTCTCATAAAACCCGGAAAGAGCCAATTCCTTATGATAATAACTGCATGAACATATTTCAGTTGTATTTTGTTTGGCCTAATTAGCACTCTGAATTATAAGAAAGTACATAAATACATATACTAAGTACATAAAGCATGTAAAGTACTTGTATAAGTACAGACAATCTAGTGGAAATGCTGAGATGTGAGTTTTGAATTCTGTACAAGCTGTGTGCTTTCTCAAAAACATACTGGCTGTGCTACTATAAACCCACAACATTGCTTTATCTATTTATTTGTTGTCAAATTTCCATCTCCATATGCTGTCCAACAGGTTAGTATGATGTTTGTATGTTAATGATGTAGGCGACTTGCATAATCCTAAAGTAAAAGGGATGTAGGGATGGTTACTTCATTCAAAAGACACTTTTAAACCTGTCATACTTGTTGTGGAGGTTTGGTTAGATAAACATTATTCAACAAAATGATGTGCTTTTAATGGTACAAGGTTTTTAGTCAGTGAAATTAGCTAAAGTTATTGTGCTGCAGATTTATAATGGGGCTCTGAAAAGACAAACACTGACATTTTTATTCAGTGTGAATATATGAACAAGTGAATCAAAAATAAGTTTGAATTGCAAAAAGGTTTAAATATCCTTAGAGCTCTGGTGTCACGTCCAAACAAGCTACCATTCTACTTGCTTTTTAACTCGGTGAAGTTTCTCACTGAGGGTTCATTATCTGTATTTCAAATACAAATATAGAACATTTGCATGTGTTCTGGGGGTTTACTATCTGTATCTGATAGAAATTAAAGTTGCTGTAGCAGTTGCAATATGAACCATTTGTGGATTTAGAAAAGTTGAACAAAGATTTATGTGTTTATGTGCATTAAAAAAAACTACAGCTCTCCTAAAAAATTCCAAGCTATTTTCCCATTACAATCATAGATCCACAATCTTATGCCATATCCATAATATCAATTCATAAATTCATCTAGAAATGTTTTTCTGTTCAATCTTTTATAGCTAACCACAGGACTACCTTCAGCCTGATGGAATTTCACCTTCAAGGGTTTGTAGGAAATGTTGCTTTTCAAAGGCTACCAAATAGAAATAGTGAATATACAACAAAATTACATAGTTTATGTACTATATCTAACAAATAAAGGCAAATTACACACTGTTGAGCAAGGTTACTGCATGTTGGGGCTGGATTATTACAAAGGTGATATGTTAAAAATATTTTGAAGTTGTGGTCTCTTTTCATTTCTCTATTAGCTAGCTCATATTACTGTTTACTACTGTCAAAAGAAATGATCAGAGGAATATGTGGGAGACAAACACTGGCTGGAGCCTGAGTATAATTGCTTTAACCCGAGAGACTTCATGTGAACACAAGCTGTAGAGAAAACTTGGAATGAATTAGATAAGGTGCTGTTTCTTGGAGGTCGGACAGAGTATTACAGCCAGGAAGAGCAAGAAGAGGTAAAGGTCATGGAGATGCATACACACAGGCTCTATCAAGTAATTTAGAAAATGTTTTAAAAAATTCCACAAATTTATGAATTTGTAAAAACTCCTTGATGCACCTTAACCTTCAGTCTGTCTTCTAACCCTGCAAATAAGCTGTCGTGCAAATAATATCACTCTTAGGTGACTTACAATACCTGTTGATGTAAAGCCAGAAAGCTTCTCCGGATTGAATAGCAAAGGTCAGTGTCAGGTAAACACAATTCAATGCAATGCATCAATGTGATCGTGCCACTTTCTAACGAAAACCAGTCAGAAACAGATCAAGTGTTGGGTTCACAGTACACATTAGGTGTGGACAGGCAGTGCTGTAGCTTTATGGCCTCACCCTGGTGAGTCAAGCCTCTTAAACAACTCTATACACTGACATCATGGCTTGGTGTCCTAAATGCAACCTGATATCTGCAATATAAGGCAGAGATTTTATATTCAGAATCTCACTTACTTTGTTTGGTTTCATAAAACCTCTGTACTGCCATTAGACAGCACTAAAATTACATGCAAATTTAACTTGTAAAGCTTTTTTTTTTTATCTATTGTGAATTTTGATGCATATAAATAAGAGCGTACTTTCCATGCTCAGGCAAATGATTAGCTCCTCAGGGAAGTAAAAAATGAGTTTAGCCATGCTTTTTTTTTTTTTTACCCAAGCACAGTCCTGCAAGAAGAGCAGTCAAGATATTAGCACATTAACCCACTACAAAAGGTACACTACAAAAATACAGCACAGTCCGGGAAGCTTTGGAAAATCATTTCTTTAATCAGTAAAGAGGAGTAAACATCTTTTGCAGCCAAATATTTAAAGTGGAAACCTGCACATGTAGCTCAAGA